GGCCGGGTCTGCCTACCCCCACGGCGCTCGCTGCGAGGAGGTAGGCTGCTGGCTGCTTGCTTGATGGCCGTTGAGGTGAATGTAGTTTTATTATTATCATTTTCGGGTGATGTAAATCACCTAGAGGTAATTTATAGAAGGGGAAAGTTTTGGACGTGCGTTTTCCCCTTCGAGCTACCACCGGACGCATCTCACGCCACCGCGCAGAGTAAAGTAAAGGCTTAAGCAGAGCTCCCCTCCCCCCTCCCGCCCCTCATCCTCCATGAAAGGTACCCCCGCCTTGACGGCAACTTGCGTTCTCGGAGTCTCGGAGTGGATCGCGCGGGGCGGTAGGGCGGGGTAGGACGGGGTTGGGCGGGGTAGGGGCGGGGCGGGGTGGAGGGCTTGCAACCCCGCGGCGGCTGGTCGTAAGTCATCGCCGTCCGGACGCGTCCGAAAGCGCTGTACAGTATACCGTCGTCCCCGTTCATCGCGCTGCCGCTGCCACGAGCCGTGATCCCGCGAGAGAGAGAGAGAGAGAGAGGGGGGGGGGGGGGAGTCCCCTCCCGCCCTATCCTCTCCGCTAGGCGAAGCGATGGGTCTTTTAGAAACCGACTGGCCGGGTGGGCCCGCCAGGGCGGTAGCAACAGCAGCAGCGCAGCAGCCCCGGCCAGGACCGGGGCCGGAGCCGCCCCGGGGCCCGCCAACATGCTGTTGTATTTACGACTTTCCGGTCAAACGCTGAAGGCGAGCGCAACGCTGAAACGGTTGAAAGAGAAACGTCTGGACGGCGGCGCGGGGTGATACATGTCCCCGAAAGAACAGGAAAGGGAATGAAAAATGGTCTCGGCCACTGACTTGTACAGTTAAAACGCCTATTTATTTGAAATATAGATACACATATTTATTGTTACATATTTAGATATATTTAGGGGTTGGCAAAAATTAGGTTGTTCGTAAATGCATTGTTTGATTAATAGGAACATTCCTGTACTAAAAAGTTCATAAAGAATTAAGTTCCAGAGTTGCAGATAACTCAAAGATGTCCAAAATAGCAATAATTTAAAAGAGGGAGGGAGGGGGGCGATCGGATATTTGAACTCGGCTATCGATAGGGCCACGTGGGTACAGCGGACGCGGGTCCGTGAGCCACACGGCCCACAGGTCAACGCGACCCGAACAGAGCTCGGGGGAGTGAGGAGTGAGGGGTGGGCCAGCCATTTTTTTCCCCTGCTCCTAAAGCCTAACGTGCCCGCCACCCGTTAGTTAGCCCCTCCCAAACCAAAACTGTCCGACTATCGATTTCCGCGCGTAAAAGTTTCTTTGTTCTCCCCGCTTTGCTGCCGCTCTGGCTACCCGGTGGCGTGGCGACTGACGGCTCGGCCCAAACGCGCGCTTACACGCGCCATGAATCAGTCCCATCCAACTAGTGACGGCCCCAAGTTTCCGACCCCCTCCCCATTCCTCCGACCCCTCTCTGGCCCAATTAAGCCATTTCCTCCCTGCTGCCGCTATCTACCCCCCCCCCCCCCCTCCGGCTCGCCACGACAACTTTCTGCTCATTCTGTCTTTCTTTCTATGACGGCAAAAGAATGTTGTGTGGCGTGTAAGAGTGAGAAGGAGAGAAAATGGAAGAGCAGGGGGTTGGGCCGGGCAGAGAGCCGAGGTTTCCGTCGGGAACTCCGACACAAGCTCCTGCTGGGAAGAGCAAAGTCAAACTGTATCATCATCTTTCATGCCGGATGTGATTGCTCTAAGCCTAAACCTCGTCCCGTCGGCGGGGCGGGCGGCGGGCGCGCCGCCGCTCAGGGCCGCGAGTCTGCTGAGCCCTGTGCTGCTGATTCTAATCTGATATTCCGATCAGACTTGCTGCCTCTCGATAATCCAGTCTTCGTTGAATTAAGACTGACTGGCGGGAGCGGGAG